TGCAACTTTAGATCAATCAGGAATTATAAAGCTTCCTACTGAGATAGGTCATCTTACCTCTCTGGAAAAGCTAGATTTATGTGAGTTATTGGAGTTAGCCTGGTATCATCTACAACAGAGACCGTTAAAATTGTATTTTCTGCTGCATCTTCGGTTTTCTTCACACTCAACTGCCTCTGCCCCCATTATGTAACTGAAGCTGACATGGATATAACAGAGCTTCCCACTGAGATAGGTCATCTCACCTTACTGAAAAAGCTAGATTTATGTGAGTTATTGGAGTGAGCCTGGTATCATCTACAACAGAGACTGTTCAATCTTTACTTACCCGTGCATCTTTGGTTTCTTTACACTCAACTGTGTTTGCCCCCATTATGCAACTGAAGCTTACACAACCCCAACCCTCACCCCGAAAGGATCTCCAATAATACCTCCACTAAATCCTCCAACGAACCCTCCCGCACCTACGACTGGAAATTTCACGGCTCTTGTAATTCGTGTCACTGACGCAAATGGCATCCGCCCTACTGCAACTATTTCTGAATTGGAAAAGTACATCTTTGATAATGAAGTCTGCCTCAAATCACAAATGGAGGCCTGCTCCTATGGAAAGCTCAATATCATCCCCTTTCAGGGGACTACCGAGACTGGTGTGGTGGTCAAACACGGGGTTGTTGATGTCCAGATGTCTGATGTGGCTGTAGGGGAAGCAGACGGTAGACCGGAATTTCCTGCAAGGGCTGCCGCCAAAGAGCAACTTGGAGACTTGGAAAGCGACAAATACGATATCTTTCTACTTGTTCTACCACCAGGAACCGGCGATTGGAATTCATATGCGCGTGGAAAGTGGACCATTTACAACGATAGGCAGGTACATTCCGTGTCAACTCAGATGCATGAGGTCGGCCACACTTTTGGGCTTAATCACGCTGGAGAACTCACCACAAATGGTGACATCAAAGTTTATGGTGACACATCAGGCTTTATGGGAGCTTCATATGACAGCCTCGAGAATGCGTGTTACAATCCTGCCAATAGCTACAAACTTGGATGGTACCCAGAACAAGTCAAAACCATTGATCCTTTCAGTAATAATGGAGTTGATGCTCGTGAATTCACTCTAAATGGAGTTGCAAACTACAAAGAAAACAAAGATGCTCTCATTGTGCTAAGATTGCAACAACTAGGACAGGAACAGGACTATTACATTGGCTACAATCGGCAATTCGGTATCAATGAAGACACAGGTGAAGATAAAAACATGGTCACCATTGTCCGCAGGGAAGAAAACGGTATATCAACAAAAGTTGGGAAATTACTTCCAAATGAATCTTATATCATTAAAAAC